CCAACTTACCATGGAACTTTGAATGGAGACCTGGGTAGATCGATAGAGTCTATAAGGTTATTTACAAATATAGATAGCAAAACTGCAACCTGCATTTCACAAGCAACTTATGAGCAGGTAAAGTTAATGGTGCAGTAGGGTGGAGGCTTGGTGGTGAGCTGTGAAGCATAAGCGAGGAATCGCATACGTCGAATCGAGTCGTCGAACCTTACCACTGAACCACCACGACTCGATTCGACGTATGCGATTCCTCGCTTATGCTTCACAGCTCACCACCAAGCCTCCACCCTACTGCACCATTACAAACTTTACCTGCTCATAAGTTGCTTGTCTACCCAAGTTTCCATTCAAAGTTCCATGGTAAGTTGGCGGACTTCCCTGGTCAGGAGCATAGCGTTCTTATTGGTCTTCATCCATATTTACCCTTTTTGGTGGTTTCAGGTCCGAGCTACGTCTGGAGCTGTCCCGATTTCTGCGAAAGTACCTCGTATTGATGCTAATCAGCCCCATCATCCGCCCATTGTTCAGCAGGTAGATAAGGCTTGATGTAAAGTTGTTTGAACTTTAATAATTGTTATTAAGGGACCATGTCCTTCGGAAAGCGCATGTGAAAGGCTGTTGGACCATGTCACAGTCGAGAAAGCCGGTGGTGAAGTCGACGGAAACCAGGTTGTGGATGTAAGAGGTCCTCACGTCTTCTTTCACTACCCGTCAATCCATGTATTGCATTTCAGGAAACCAGTGGACTGAGCACCTTGGATGGTGAGGTAAAAGCAGAAGTCACTGATGATGCAATGGAAGACGACAATTATGAAACTGTGCGAAGTTACATCATCAGACAACTCAAATTGCCCGATCCTCCCTCACACCCCCCAGCTCCACGCGAAAATCTGAACCCCACCGAAACTGAACTACTGGATTGACCGCTAAATTGTTCAGTGAGTCTTTTGAAGATCACGTTTTCGAGTGCTGCATTTTTTTCGAGACACACACACACACACACACACACACACACACACACACACACACACACACACACACACACACACACACACACACACACACACATTAAGCAGCCCATCCTTACTGTGGTCAACTTCTGATAAGCCCATCCCTTACTGTGTCGCGTTCTGATCTGAGCCTCGCCAGTAATTGCCGACGTGTTAATGAGTGATTGATTACAGCTGGGAACGCGGACGGAAGCCCAAAGCGCTGGATCTATAATACGTCTACTTCCACTGTCGCTCAAAACGCTGACAAACGCTTAGGACGCTGCCGCAAAGTATGAATGCATTCCGAGAGAACTCACTAAAATGACCTCTTTCCGCCCCTTTTTTGCTGAAAGTGTATTTTTCAGTTATGGTTGACAACATCGCCCAAAACAGGTATTGAATTGCCAAATGCTCTTGCTTCTTCCTGCCGACGGCTCCGAATGCGTGGTGTTGATGTGAGTACGTACAAGTCAAGAAGAGTGCCAGTGACACTTAATTTGCTTTTTTGTCATATCCCAAGAATGCCGAGAAATGGGAAAAACGGTCCGTCTGGTTGGTCTCGGCCCTGCTTACCCTGTTAGTTGTTATGACACCGCCGTGAGCATCTGTTCCCTTTCAACATAGTGGCACTTACTGCAGCTTATCAGCACTCGAACGTGCAATATTGGACACGGGTTCGAGTCCTGGCTGAGGCAGGCAGAGAGTCTTCCCCGTATCTCAGGAACTACCATATTAAAACTAGTTGTAATATCAATTTCAACTTCATGTTCTGGAATCTGGATTGTGAAACCCGCAGCCAAGAATAACAGATGAAATGTTGCAAAAGGTAGCGATTATAACCCCTGGAGTTGATGTAAAAGCCAGCCACGGTTCTAATTGTCACTGTCATTCAGGTACCTATCTGTACAGCGTGCTCGTCTAATGGACCACAGTTGTCCTCAACTTTTGCGAAATGAGGAATTAATGACCTAAAATGAATTATCTCTTGATGATATTAGGGCATGAAAGTCATGGGGTGAGAGGACCAGAGCGGGTTTCCCGGTCAGCAGAAGTTGTGGGCTTAAGTCCCGCCTGAGGTCTGACTTTTGCCCATAACTCAGCATTCTTGTGATATTAGGATATTCATTCAAGTGTAGCTTCAATAGGTATTTATAAGTTTTTGAGACAATGTTTCATTTGAACCTTATAGTCTTGTGAATGCTGGTATTTGTTGATCTGTTGCTGTTGTTTGTTGTTGGTACAATAAAAGATAAGAAGATAATTCAACGTCTTTTTTTCGATTCTTTCAAAACGCTAAGTGCCAAGGCTATTTCTCAGAGCAGCTATTGTCTTCGTTGAATTCTAGAGCCTTCATGGCTCAAAATATATCTCCAATAACGAACAGCACCGCACCCGCCGGATGATAGAGGAAGATTGAAAAGCAAAAGCGTGAAGTTATTCCTAAATATTGCTAATGCAGTAGATAGGAATCAACTGACTGTGGTCGCTGGAGCGCGCTCTCTCAAAATGCCGAATCTCCTATTCTACGATTCATAACATATGATGCAGCCTAAGAGAGTCCAAAATAATGCTAAAAGTTCATTTGTTGCGCAACTGTCGCTTGGGCTGTGTTCACACTTTGTATCAGCGTTTCGAGCACACGGCTGCTTTTTCAGCGACTGCGGCTTTCCGCGGGAATTCAAAGCTTCCCGCGAAATCGATCAGAACGCTGGTGGACGCTCAAAACGCTAGCTCGACATCTACACCTCCTTACAATTAGTCGCTCGAAACGCTCAAAACTTACGAGTGACGATAGACGTGCTTCACACCCGCCCTCGCACGCTTGCATGACGATTTTTCGTGGTGATTCAGCATGAAAGGTCCGAGTGCAGAGAAAGAGGGGATTGCTCCTGCCCAGCCATCAAAAGCTCCAAAAATATACCTCGAGGGGCGTGAGCTTTCTCAGGGGCAGGGGACTCCAGGGCGATAAGCCTCTTACGAAGCGTAAAGGTTTAAATTTATAAATTCGCTGTGGCCGAAGAAACCATGTAGACGCGAGAGCGCAGAGAAAAACAGAAAGCCGGCGCGATTAAAGGATTTGAGTCCGGGTTGTTCGTAGGCCCCTCACATCGCTTCGATGGAAAAAAACGCGCTCTAGTGCGACGACCGCGACGCAGCCGCCTTCTTTGCCGCAATGTCCTCTTGCCATTTGTACTTTTGTAGATTTCCTTCTTGTTTTTTCTTCAATATGGCTGACCCACTAACCTAAACCAACCTAAGTATTTGTAATTTTAGGTTTCATTGCAGAATGAGGAGAACTTGCGCTCTTTGTGGAAAAGTGAGCTGCTTTGAACACATGAAGCGAATGAACCACCGGAAAAAGCAGAACCTTATAATGGTAGCATCGCTTTCATTTCTCGGAATTGTGGACCGGTCGAAGGTTGACGCTGTGGTGGCAAACATTAGTAGGGCATCGAGATGCATCTGTCATTCTCACGTAATAAGAGCGGTAAGTTGAAAGCGGGCATTTGTGGGTACTTCTCTATGACAGCATCTATTATGAGCAGGCCCAATATTTGTGTGCTGAAGTGACAATTAGCGGAGCACGTCTTTTGTATGACGACGCATATAAAGCAGCATACTTTCCCACAACGGATATTCCATCACACCTTGCCGAAGTGATTAACAGGACGAGCAACGTAAGCCTCAAAATTCAAGGGCTCTGTCTCTAGCTCGTTGTATAAATCATATTTTAGGCCGGTGATGTTATAACCACTCGGGATGTGGGCTATTTCATTAATGGCTCTTTGATGAGGTATTATGGAACTCCAGCTTGGCCGTCAAATTATGAGGAGGAGGTCTGTAAGATTGAGTTCATACTTTACAACGGCAGTATAGATGAATGTTCGAGTCAAAATTTTTGTGGGAGTGAGCGGCAAAAGTATGGATGGGTATCGACTGGTTCTGATCGCTAGTGGTTCGATGTTCTGGGAGAACACGCGTGCGAGTCGCTGATTCTCCTATTCTCTCGTCGCATGAACACAACCCGAATGATTCCGCGGCGCGATAGTACTGGTGGGCGTATTCACGGACGTTTTCGCTGCACGTTAACACGTGGGAGGGGCATGAGGGGGCTTTTTGCACGTTAGATGGTTTGTTTTGTTAGTTCTTGTCAACTTACACGCCTTATCTTGGTGAGACATGTGGATTCTCTCCAAATATAAACGAAGCGCTATTGCATAACTTTACGGGTACTCACAAGTCTCCACAGGTAGTAATCGGTGGGAACCAGGAAAACGCCCACCCTACAAGGGCGAAGTATGCCAAGGTTGCGTTGTACCAGGGGGAAAGGCGGTAGGTTGAAGTGGCTGTTGGAAAAAGACGTGCATCGACTCCATTCGTAGACTACATACAGCCATTACAACTGAAATAAGTGGGAGCGTGTCAGCTGCGCGTAGGGTTTGACGCGGCGCCAGCTGGTCTTCAATCGAGCGTTGCGGCTTTGAGCGTTGAATGAGTGGTGGTAAAAAGGCTGGCGCCGCACCATAATCCACGCGCTGCTGACGTGACCCGGCTGACCTCACAATGTCAGTAATAACGACTGTCACAGTGTCACAAGTATCGTGTCACCTTCGGAGTAGTCGTACACTTCGCTTCAAATAACGCCCATTAAGGCGCTCCGCTCTTATAATACAATAGCGCCAATTTCGCTACATTTTTTTTCTTGCATTTTGTTGCAGTGCGAGCTTTAGGAGTCAGAGGAGGCTGTACCCGGTTCAAACGAATCGGCACTTTGTTCCAAATTACCCGCTGACGGGCAAGATGTTAACGTGGATGACAGTGAAGTAAGTACTAGGGTTTTGAGATAATAGTGTTCTTCAGTTCCGCTAATTGAGAACTAATTTCAGGTCTCTGAGTGCGCACCTGGCAACAGCTCAAAGTCACAGCTGGTTGGGGAGACGACTAAAGATGACTTACAGAAGTATTACCTCATACATGGTGAAGTGCTAGTGACGCTGTTTCCGGTTCTGTCCCGAGTGCGGACATCGTTTGAGCGCTGCACAGTTGACATCGGTTGGCACTACAGCTGTGATGCGGTTCCTCTGTGAGAGCTGTCGTCCATCAGTTGTGAAAGAGTGGGAAAGTCGAAAAGGAGTCTTGTGTGCTTCAAGAAAGCAGAAAACAACTGGTCAAGTCGCTAGTCGCAGTCAGCATGCCTTCCATAAGCAGTATAAACGCTACAAAGGCGACTTACGAACCTCTTCTAGGAGTGTAAGTTGATCATTCATCGTTTTTTTTGTCAATTCGAGCAGAATTATTTCACAGCCGGAAGCGTACCTATTACCTATTGCCTGTCTTACTGGTTTTGATCGAAACTCGGCAGTATGTGCCTCAGAAGGGATACCTTGTGAGTATTCTTTTTTAGCGCGAAAATTAACTATCGAGGGCGTGTAAGTCACTTTTCGCATCTCAGTTTTCCCTGGCTATATGTGGCTTGAGTACCAAAGTTGCAAGCTGCTGTAGTTCTGAAGCAGACTTGCAAACTTGGCCCCTCCTGAGGCACATAGCGTCCTCATTTGTTTTGATCGGAATATATTTTTCGGTATTTAGCCC